CATTAGGTGCCTCTCTTGAGTTACCCTAGTCCCTGCCCAGGACAAGATGTCCAGATTTTCTAATTAATTAAAGTAGAAATAAGGGCCTTTAGAGCTATTGTAAGAATTAAATGAATAACACAAGTAAAAGCACAGTGCCCAGCACACAGCAAGGACTTTATAAATGAAAGATGTTGTTTCTCTGACTAGAAAGTAAGTTATTAAAGAGCTAGTCTTCATGTATACTTCATTTTTTATATTCCTAATGACCTTAAATTGCCAAAACTTGGAAGCAACTAAGATATCCTTCATAGATGAATGAATAAGCCTGTGGTACATCCAGAAAATGGAATATTACTTAGCACTAAAAAGAAATGAGCTATCAAACCATGAAAAGACACAAAGGAACTTTAAATGCATATTATTAAGTGAAGAAAGCAAACCGGAAAAGGCTACTTTCAGTATGAATTCAGCATATGGTGTTCCAAGGTAGGTAAGACTTTGGACAGTAAAAAGGATCGGTGGTTGCTAAGGGCTGAGGGGGAAGGAGGAGGGATGAATTGTTGGAGCATGGAGGATTTTTAGAGCAGTAAAACTATCCTGTATGATTCTGCCATGGTGTTGAATATGGTAACGGATAATGCCATTGTACATTCGTGAAAATCCACAGCCGTAACACCAGGAGTGAACCCTATGTAACTAGAGACTGGGTGATATTGACACTACAATGTAGGTTCATCAAGTGTAAGAAATGAACTACTCTAGTGTGAGACATTGGCAATGAGGGACTGTGCACACAGGATATAGGGTATGTGGGAAATCTCTGTACCTTCCTCTCAATTTTGCTATGAATTTGAAATTGCTTTAAAAAAAGGGTCTATTTTCTAAAAATCCAAACATATTATATTGAAAATAGTAAGTGATCAATTATGTTGAGTGAATTAATGATTATTTGCTAAGTTTGAAGAATGACAATTGAGTTAGGAGTCTATAATCAGGCAAATGATCCAAGTTTTGAGGCCCTGAATCAAGACTTCCTGTGCTGATTCAACCCCTTATTCGTGTCTGAGATTTTAGGTGAGGCACTTTGACCAGAGTTGAGTAGAGCCCAAGCCTCAGAAAATTTCTGAGGTTGTTTTTCAAATTAGAACCATGAAGACAAGTCTCCGAAAGTGGGATACGTGCACGCTGGAAGGGTTAGCTGGCGAAGGGATAGCAGCAGCTCAAATGCACAAGTGGCTTTGGCCCCTGCGTGCAGGTCCCTTCAGGAATGGAAGAGCTCCTTGTCAGTGAGGCACTGGCCAGCTTCCTGGGAAGGAGATTCTTTCCTGGAACACAGAGACTATCTTGCATCTTGCCTGGAACTCTATGAAATTCTTGGCAGGGCCTGGCCCAGCTGGGTGCACCCTGAAACACCACATTTATTTGATATTGGGATTGATATTCCTCTTTTACATTGTGGTTGGGACTCATTAACTCTCAATAGGGACCCACATTGTAGGAAACTCCCTTTCTTGCAAAAAAAAAAAAGTTTCCTTGGTTGGGTCACAGCTCCTGTAACTGATTTGCTTTCCTGGCATGGAGATAGGACAGCATGTTGTGTGGTACCCTGAGGCTGGAGGGAAAGGGGACAGGCTCAGGAATCCCTGGGTGGGAAGACTCTTCCTCACATTCACCACAATTGCTAAAACACTACGTTTACTAGCCTAAGACCGGGCTGTATCTGCATGGAAACTGTGTATGTGTGGAATTTAGGTTTTTTTTTTTTTCTTCACTTCAAGATGGCCATAATAAGAGCCAGACTGTTGATGAGTCTAACGATTAGAAGCAGCCTCTAAATTCCCCACACGATCATGTTGGGTTCGCTTTTGAGATCTTGTTGTAGTAGTTCAAACTGTGTGGTGTTTATCTAGCAACTTCACTAAAAAACTCATATTCACTAGTGCCAAACACGTGCATTCGGTTTGCGGTGGCCCTGTTCAAGGACTGCTTCTATAACCAGTTGTGGAGTTTAAGTCAAGCAGTCTGGGAGGATGTTGGGAAGGTTCATTTTAGTAACTGCTCTATTTACGTCCATCAAATCACTGTTAAATTGGCAGGCACCAAGCAGCCTTCAGTGCGGCTGAGCAAGTAGTCACCACTCCTGGATGAGCTGTATGCTTGGAAACAAGGATCCCGAAGAGGGTTCTTGGCTCCAGGAACTTGGCTGAGCGTTTCTATCCACTTGAGTCATGTCCACCATTGCACCTGCTTCTTCTGGAGGCAGACTTGCACATTATCACCATTACTCTTTAATAGCACTGACATTGCACTAATCTAGGAAATCTGTCTTTTTCTTTCTCTGCCACATAATAAAACCTCTAGGACTATTTGGGGGTGGCTGAGGGAGAAGCAGGAAAGAACATCTCCCGAGTCAGTGCTTTAGAAATGTTTTATTGTATTTGTTTTCAAGTGATCCTGCTAACAAAAGTATTATGGGGCAAAAGCAAACCTTTAAAGTGAAAAGCAATCAGATAACAAAGACCTCCCCTTAAACTACTACATGGGAGGTAACTGTTACTCATTTCCAAAGCTGTTCCCAACTTGGCGTGTGGGATTGGTGAGGCTGCCCCAAGGTAGTTAGTGGTGTTCACAGAAGGACCACCACCTTCAAGAGACAAACTTGGACTCCAAGAGTGAACTCTTCACTTGCCTCTATATTCTTATATATGTAAAAATTATCCTAATGTAAACACTGAGACATGGTTCCCTACTTCCAGAGTATCCCATCTGTCAAGAACCACGAAGTGTCTCTGTTTAAACTCTCGAATGCCTAGGGATAGGAAAGAAGCTATGTGGCAAGCACAGATGAGTCTAGGACAGAGGATGGCAAAACACAGACCATGGACTGGCCACCTGTTTTTATAAATAAAGTTTTGCTAGAAACATTCACATTTATTTGTTTATATATTGTCTATGGCTGCTTTCCTGCTTGGATGGCAGAGTTGAGTAGTTGCAACAGTGTATGGACAACACACACCCCAAAACATTATTTCTTCTGGGTCTTTACTGCACATGTTTGCTGATCTCTGGTCTAGACAAATACTCAGATGAGCCAAGTGTTGGCTATTGGTCCCCAATTCACAATGCCAAGAGAAGAGCTGTGTTGGCTTTGGTTGCTGTCATACACTGTGTAATTATTTTTAAAATCTTACAAGCTAGTGTAAGAAAGTTTTTCTCTTTCTTTCTTTTGAATTTAATAGGAATTTAATGTTCTTATTCACCTTACTTTGGAGCAACAATATGGAAAGAATAATTAGATCTGAGTATAGTTTCTATGTTACCTGGACTTCTAAAACATTGCTGGATTGTGTAACTGTACGTAAGTCGATGTCGTGTCTCAAAACTTTTAATAGGTGCAAATGTTAGTGGCCACTAAAGTACTGGCATTATGTATATGTCTGTGTGAAATTCTACACTGCTCTGCGGTTATAAATGTAGTCTGACGTCAAGTAAAACTCTTCGGTCTAATTGTTTTCCCAACCTTTGGAACCACTTTTAAGAGTCACTAGAAATCTGTAGTTGCAGGCACCAGACACATTTAGCTGAGTCTTCTAGTGCCAACATGCTGGACCAACTCAGAAACATGCCCTAAACTGTACTGCTGTTTTATTTGAATTAATGGGCCACTTTCCACAATAGCAGGGATCGTTACCAGGAGTTAAGAAGCCAGAAAAGGGCTCTGGGTTAGTTTTCATACACTAGTGATGGATTCAAATCTCTCTCCTTTGTGGCCAGGTTTGACTACAAATGTAAGACAAAAATAATGTTGGAATAATATGGGACTGATGTGGCAGAAGAGATCCGAAGGTTTTGAAATGTCATTAACAACAGGGCTTATTATTTGGTTTCAAAGAAAGCTACCTCTTTTCTTCCTTTCTTTCATTCTCTTTCTTTTCTTTTCTTTTCTTTCTTTCTTTCTTTCTTTCTTTCCTTTCTTTCTTTCTTTCTTTCTTTCTTTCTTTCTTTCTTTCTTTCTTTCTTTCTTTCTTTTTAGTTTTTTAGCATAGAGTGTGTACGCTTGCTGGAGAGAGACAGTGAGAAATCACACCCCAAGGGGATGACCATACCACCATTTGTTCTCCTCCTGGGATTTTGGGCATGAGTGTACACGTGCCTGGCATGATTTTCAAGCCACTAGGTCCTAGACTTGAACCAGGGTTTGCCATGTGAGAGTCTAGCATCTTAATCACTATGCTACCTGCTGGCTCTTAAAGTTATCTCTTTTCTTCGTATGTAAATATTAGGTAGTTAATAAATAATAATCATTACTGTGGATTCTACCTACAAATTTATCTTAGTAGATATGTAACTAATTATAGGAGAAAAGTCCCTCTGGGAAAGGGAACCCTTGAGCTTCTTTTCTAGGCTCAGGTTTGACCATCTGACTGTGCTCTATGTCTACAAATTTTCCCAAGTTTTTTCTTTCCTTTATTTTTAATTGCTAGAAGACAATGTGCACTGCAGATAGAGATGGAGAGAGAGAAAGAATCCCCCAAAGGGGCCTGGTCAAACTACAATCCTTTTTCTTCCATTCCTTCGTCCCATGAGGATTTTGGGCTTACATGCACATACATGCTCAGCATGTTCTCAAGTCATGGGGGCTGGGATTTGAACTGCAGTTGGCAATGGGGGAGTTGGCTCTCTTACCACTGTACTATGGGGATGGCCCCATGTCAACAGATGTGAATGGCCAAATCCCAGTTATTTAATCATAATTCTCTTACCTAGAGGAATTTACAAAGCTTTGGATAATGGCTTGTTGGCAATGAAAATACCACTAAGAATTTAAATGTGATTTTTGAGACTTGCGTTGAGCATTAAGACAATATATGCATGCTTAATTATAAGATCTATAATAAATAAAACCATAGGCTATGAAGTTTTACTTCAATTTCAGTTCAAGTGTGATAGGATCTTTACAGATGAAGAAAAGTCATTATTCTGTTTTATTAAAAAAATAAACAAACATTGGTCTTAATTTTTTTTATTAATGTTTCATGAATTTTCATGTCATCCTCATACCTGGGCCTTGCTAATCTTCTCTGCATGGTTCTAATTCTAGTATATGTGCTCATGTTGCCGAAACAAACCCAGTCTTAATTATTTTTATTTATTTATTTGTTTGTTCTTTATTTTATTTATGACTAGAGGGCATGTGCACTCACCAGAGAGAGTCAGAGACACAGGGAGAGAGAGAGAGAAAGCACCCCCATAAGGGGTGTGATCACATAGCAATCCTTTTCCTTCCATTTTCCCATCCCACCAGGAATTGAGGCATGCATGCACATAGGTGCAGGATGTTTTTCAAGCTGCTGGGACCAGGACTTGAACCAAAGTCTATCATGTGGGATCCAGCTCTCTATGAACAGCAATTAACTGCTGTGCTGCAGGGCCAACTCTACAGTACTAATTCTTAAATTCCCCCTTTCTTTCTCTTAAAAGGTCTACTAGCCAATGGTCATATATGCTATCACAGAATGCCACTTATAAATTCTAATTTTAAAGGAGAACCTTTTTTTGAAATGATAAAGAGCAAATGCCCTGGGGGTATGGGGTGGGATGGACAGAGGCACTTCCAAGAGGGTTCTTGCATGCATCATTCCCCTTTTCCCAGTCCGTCAGCTTCTCGGGATCCTGGATACCCATCTATTCGCACCCAGTGTGTTCTCAGGTCAACTTGGGGAGTCACACCTGTGGCTGCCATAAGACTTCCAGCCTTGCAGGGCCCTTGTGTTCACATAGCAATCCTTTTCCTTCCATTTTCCCATCCCACCAGGAATTGAGGCATGCATGCACATAGGTGCAGGATGTTTTTCAAGCTGCTGGGACCAGGACTTGAACCAAAGTCTATCATGTGGGATCCAGCTCTCTATGCACAGCAATTAACTGCTGTGCTGCAGGGCCAACTCTACAGTACTAATTCTTAAATTCCCCCTTTCTTTCTCTTAAAAGGTCTACTAGCCAATGGTCATATATGCTATCACAGAATGCCACTTATAAATTCTAATTTTAAAGGAGAACCTTTTTTTTTGAAATGATAAAGAGCAAATGCCCTGGGGGTATGGGGTGGGATGGACAGAGGCACTTCCAAGAGGGTTCTTGCATGCATCATTCCCCTTTTCCCAGTCCGTCAGCTTCTCGGGATCCTGGATACCCATCTATTCGCACCCAGTGTGTTCTCAGGTCAACTTGGGGAGTCACACCTGTGGCTGCCATAAGACTTCCAGCCTTGCAGGGCACTTGTGTTATCTATGTACCACAGTGGCTGATTCTTAAAGGGGGATTTTTAATAGCGCTATCTTTCAGAAAAGATGACTTGCCTTTCTAACTGAGAAATAAAAACATTAAGTTTTATTTTGTTTTGTTTTTAATATGGGGAGGTTCCTACAAAGTATACCAGGAAAAATCTTTTCTTTCAGGAGTGAGGTGAGGTTGTGGAGCTATAGTGTCTCCTTAAAGCAGAACAACTGACACTACAAGCCGTGTGGGAGTAGCAACCTATGTGTTCTACGGCCAAATCGTGAATGCACATTTTTGTGTGACATTCCAGCATGAGCAGCCAGGCTCTAATTAAGATCTAGCCGGTTAGATGATCGCCAGGGAGAGGTCCAGGGTGTGGGGAACACTTCAAGTTACATTCCATGAAAACATTAGACTGTCAAAGCTTAGGAGGGCCCTGAATGTCCATAGACACCGAGGTGGGGGAAAAGACTGAAACGAAGCTAGCACATGTCAGCATAAAATAGCTGCTGACACAAATTGAACATGTGCAATTTTTTAAAAAGGTGGTATCGAATAACAGGCCCACAGCCATCCCTCTCGGCATTTTAGACCTCTTTCTTCTCTCCACTTTGGCTCTTTGTTGAGTCACTTCCATCAGGCAAAGTTCCATAGGATAAGTTATTTGAATCTGGTTGTATTTTGTCCAACATTTGTTTCCCTGTGGAGATAATAATCATAAAAATCTTTTGAGCTCTTACAGAAGAATAAGTCTCAATAATTTCTCCTCAATCTAGGCCATATTTTATTCCTTTTTAAAAAAATACTATGTGGTCATCCTCTAAGCAGAAGAGATAAGCGTCAAGGAAGAAAAGGCCCATGGACTGGGTGTTGCTTGAAACATGATAATGCACTGTCCAGGAGAGGGCGCCATGTCCCCCACCCACAGAATCTCCATGTTGAGCGTGGAAATAAGCCTGAAGCTTTCTCTCCAAGCCTTTCTCCCTGTATCTTGTCTTTTTTTCCATTAGTCTAATGTGCGTAACAACAGAGAAGACTAGCCTTTAATACTGGTTTCTGAAGCTGTTACTGGACGGAGCTTTGGGAAATGGAAGATCGAGTTAAAAATAAGTAAACTATTTCCTCCGAAGACTCTAACCATGTAAGTCATCTGTAATGTGCATCCTTGCTGTGAACACCGATTCTTCTAGTCAATGCTCTTGACTGATAAGATGGCTCAAATGACAAACAACACAGAATTCATTTCAGAGGGCCGAATTTTCTCAGTCTTAGAGTCTTAATGGTTTTTGCTTCTAAGGTGTGGTGCTGAAAGAATGGCTGAGGAAGCTGTGAGACATCTTCACTCCTGTCTAGAAGTTTCCGTGAGTAAAGCTGGGGGACTGATGGGGGTGTGTGGGTGGGGAGAAGTGAAGGCACAGAAGATAAGTGTTTTTCACTCTGGAGTTTACTTCTGTTGTCCCAGTGGCTGACAGAGTTCTCAGTGAGACTGAGAACTAGAGAGGTGGTGCTTATTAGCCTAATCAGGGTGAGAACAGTAAGGACAAGGGGATATTCTGATGACTGCGATGAATATCACTCTTGGCACCACAAGTGCAAAAGCCACCTCCCCTCAGTCTTGCGCAGGAATGACGTTCCTTAGGTGCCTAGCCTTCCATTCTCAGCTGTTCCTTCAAAGACTCTCCCCCAAGTGACAGGGATCTGTTGTTGGTAACCTTTTTCCTACCCTTTTCCAATTTAAGGAAACCCAAAAGGGAAATGCCCCCCAATTCACCCAAATAAAGAAAATATGGTCAGTTCTTTTATATCCCTAGTGTTCTGTGAGGAGCTGACATTCAATAAATCATTATTAACAGTCATACTTAAAACATCACCTTTGGTTTCATCAATAAATGTACATGTTTTTGAGGGTAAGAATCCAGTTTTATATCAAATAAATACCCCAAATAATACCTACAACTATTAATTTATAAGGATAAAAATTTTTCTGTTATAAATTAAAGACTATATAATTTTACCAGGAATATTTCCAAAGTCAATATAAGACTGTTGCAGATGTTCCTTTTCTCGATTTCTTGTGACCAAAAACACGCCAAGGAATGACAGAAAACACCTGTAAGAATAATATTAATAAAGAACACTGAAAAGGCTTATAGTATTAAATCACTGAGCTCCATATTCTGCATGATGACATAAATTCCATTGGTTTTCTCATCCTGTTTCTCATGGTAAGCTGCCTAGAACTTGTCTTAATTGCTGTAGCCAATAATATTTGTACCCAGAACCAAGACTTGGGCAGATTCCAGTAAATCTCTGCTCCAGGTTTTTACCATCTGGAGGCTAATTCCGGCTCTAAACCCTTTGGGTAGACACTAGGTCTCATTTTTCTACCCATGCGAGCCCAGACCCACCACTGGCATGCAACAAGAGTCCTGCCCAGGAGCATTCCCAAGTGAAAAGATAATTTATTCTTTAATTTTCTAAGAAATTTAGTTGTCCTTGGCCATAAGAGTAGTCATAGTTTCCAGACCCCAGAAGTTTGGCCTTGCCCAAATATCTTATGAAACTAAATTTCAAGATAGATGGTTTCCTACGCTGAAAATACTTTAGGCCAAAGTTTGCATAACAATGGTTACGCTGAATACCAGATAAAGAAGCAGCCAAACACGAACGAATTGCCAGCTGGAGCCAATAGTAGCTCCTATCATGGCGATGTATGCTCAAGGTACCGCTCTCAGTTTGCAAGCAACTCGAATGAGGATGCCCACCAAATCTCTAGGGGGGTTAAGGTAGGGCACTGAGACACAGAATGGGAGGCCACCAACTGATGGGATTATGTCCAAAGCCAGGGATCTTCCCCGGACTTGACCCTAGAGGCATCTGTGTTTCTCTAATTGAGATGGACTCTAGGGGTTCTCAAGGATGAGTTAGGTCTTATATGGTACAAAAAAGTTGTGCCATAACCACAAAGGCCAACGACTTTGTAGTTACTTCACTTTGGCTGGAACCTAAAAATCCCCAGTGTGTCAGAACCCTCAATGAGACACCTAAATCACAAAGACATTGGGCCCTATGTGGGGTGTTAGTTTGAAAAATATGTATCTTTTAGGATCTCAGGAAACTGATGTTTCTTATATTATTTTCCAATTTTCTGTACCTTGGGTACAAAGCCAAAAATCCTATATAACAATACTAGAATTTCACATAGCTTACCTCTGAGACATTTACTCACCCAAAAAGATATATAAATACAGTGAGAAAAGCGGCACCAAGGAATTCCTGATAAAATATGATACCTATAATAGAAATAGAAGGTGAAATTAACTTCAGAGTAATAATATTTATAATAGCTACACATTGTTCTTAAAATTACATGAAAACATTATTTTTTTCTAAGTATAGTTATCCTTAAAGTATACATTTGGTGGTTTAGTTTTAAAAAATTTGCATGCCATACTGACATTTCAAATTACTCTAAAAGGAACACAGATTTGTAGACCTTTATGAATTGTAATTATCAGTATTATAAAACCAACAAAATTGGCCCAGACTACATGGCACAGTCCCTAGTGTCCTGGAACGTAGTGCTGGAAGCCACATGGCTGACAAATAGGTTTGGATTCCTGGGTTGGCCTGAAAACACACCATGTGTGTATGCAGGCACCCAAGATCCCAAGGAACTGGAGGCTGGGGAGAGGGGATCATGGCACGACAAGACTCTACCAAATATCCTCTCTTTCTCTTGAAAATATACAAACACATTCTCTCTACCAAAACAAAACGAAACAAACCATAATTGACATAACTTTTGCAAATAGAAATTTCTTATCTAGTCTAGGATTATCCCACTGGAACATGCAAGAAAGTAAAGTTCTAATAACTATTTGCCACCTACAGTTTTAGGTCAGGGGTTAGCAAACCTGGCCTGAGTCTGGGTGGCCTCTGGGGCCTTCGGCATGGCAGGCCCACCTCAGGCTGACTGCTGCCCATCATGCCATTTCTCTGAGCATCACCCGTGGTCTATTGGTCTGGCCTCCTCTGACTCAGACTCTGAAGGACTTCAGTAAGAGATGCCATGCCAGCTTCACTTCCCACTGCCAGTCCCTCTTTCTTCTCCCTCTTCTGGTTTTCCCTTCTGGGTGATGGAAAACAAGGCTGCACCGTCTACTTTGGTGAGCTTGTCTTCTGTCCCTATTAGTCTCAATCTTTTCTTCTTCACCTAAAGTTCCAAAACTTTCAGGCTTTTCATTAAACAAGAAGATATCTTTAAATTATGTATTACCTGGAATTATATTTTGTGTGTGTGGTGTTAGCCATGCCAGCTGGTCAACAAATATTTAAAGAGTGTCTCCTAAGTGCTCTGGGTGCTGCACTTAAGAGACCCTACAGTGAACAACAGTCCTGCCCACAGGAGCATTCCCAACCTTAACCTTACCTTCCCACCTGGGGAATGAACCTTCCATAGAAAAAAAGTCAAGTCCAGCTCTGGAGACTGTTTCTTGAGTAAGTACTTCTGAAGTGTCTTTTCCTGTGTTATTTGTACTTTCTTGTACTTATACTTCCTTGTAATCATTTTAATGATTTCATGTTATTCTAAGCTAATCACCATAACATCTATTTTCCTAGGGCATTTTCAGTTGTTTCTAGATTAAAAAAAAAAATGTATTCCCCCCCATGACAGAGAGAAGCAGAAAGAGAGAGAGAGAGAGAGAGAGAGAGAGAGAGAGAAAGCCTCCAGGT